GAGGTATACATCTCGAATGATATATTCGGTCATCAATCTTTTTGATTAATGCTAATACTTCTACTAGCTCTACTACTATGGGATTTGAATTGACAAATCCGTCTGTGTGCTGATATGGAATAGCAAGTCGAACAGATGTACGTACGTATGAAGTCCTACGTTGTAACTGAATGACGTGACTGAGTGACCAACCATTATATACAAACAAACGTTCTTCAACATTTATGATTAGATAAACCCCAAAATTAGCTTTTTTTTTCTCAGTTGACAGTAAAGTATGTATACATTCGTGCTTAATTCTGGATAACTGCCTGTCATCACTCGACTAGTGGGAATCGTTAGAAACAACCGATAAGAAAGGAAAACAGAAAACTTGAACTAATAATCTTTAGTTGATTCATGCATATATTTTTATATTGTCCACATTAAAGACTGTGTGCAACACTTAGGACTTAGTTGTGTTATCTTTTAGAACTAGAAATTCCCTGCCTTAACAAGCTAATTTTGAAGTTCATTTACCAACATGTATTAAAAAACCTTTGTTTGTATACAAAGTATGGTCAATCAGTCAGTCAGTTACAACGTAGTATTTCGTACGTACGTACTACATCAGTTCAAGTTGCCATACCACATTAGCACAGACACACAATTGTCAATCCACATCCTATAGTAATTGAGTTAGCAGAATTATTAGCGGTAATGGAGAAAATTAGGATTCGAAGATTTGATTCGAGAAGTGTGATTGAATGAAATATGTTTAACAAGAGAAAACAGGTCATGAGGGATTCCGAAGACTAGAATTTGGGAGAGGACAAAGAATGGATGCATCTGCGCTATTGCATACGATTTTGAGCCAGATCATTCAAGGTCTCTAACCATCGTTCACTATCGTCTCGTGGACATCAACCTAGTAGTGTGCACCTACTGACATGGCTCAGTCCAGTTGTCAATGACTTCATGGATTTGTGCTATGTTTTTATTCAACTGCCCGTAGCTATCTTCCAGCCTATTCCTCCATCAGACATCAACGCTGGTCGAGGCAGTCGGTGGTTGGGCATACGTAGTAGGAAACGTAATCAAATTATTCGTCAGTAAATACATTAGTATTTTTAAACGAGTAAGCTGACTGCAATTATTGGAAATATTTGTTCATCTGAAATTGTTCATTCATTTTCGTGTCATACTAATGAGTAATTTTCCATACAATCTCCATTTAAAATCATTGTATCTTTGTACATCATATATACGTGGTTTCTTTAATATGTTTACTTCATTATTTATTTAGCCCCTACATCTGATAAAACCGATTCGATTTCTTTGACAAACGACCAAAAAGTAACATCATATTCTAATCAGTCAGATGATATTTTATTTGTGGTAAGTGACATGATTCCGCCAATCAATATTCAATATTATCCATATTTTACCTGCCCCAATTGAAAATTGGATTGATAGTAAAAAAATATTTGAAATTTTTATAAGATCATTGTCATTGTGTGTTGATAGAATTTTTAGTAAAATAAATGTATGTGCAAGTTATATTATGAAAATTTCATTAATAACCTAGTTTTATGATTTCAGATAACTGTGTAACAAATAGGAAACAGTAAATTAATGTTTTTAAATTAGGTCAATTGATGAAGAAACATTGTTATGAATTGTGTAAAGTGACTAGTCTTTGATTTCTTCATTGTTCAATCAACATTTTCACAAATGGGTATATAAATATGATGTTTGTGTAGAAGTGGTATATCATTGCTAAGTAATGTGAAACCTAACACACCTGTACATCAGACTGAGTTGTCACACCATATTAACACAAAAAATGATGATAGGGCAAGGTGTGTAGAAAGTGAAATGAGCGAATGATTTAAATGTAGCTAGTTTTCTTATGTACTGGACTACGAGCCACACTGAATACGATTTAATAATTCTCCTGGGATGTCCAAATCGCAGACGGGTTCGAACTTACGGCCTACCAATGGTTCAAATACTTAACTATAATTTTACATTTAAAAAGAATTCCACTAAAATTTTATTTCTATTTCATTTTAGGAATCTCATCTTGTTAATCGTGGTTCGGTGAAACATAAAAAATCCAAGAGCACTAAAAGAAAACATAAAAAATCACACAAAAAACGACATAAGAAGGATAAGAAAATTTCTCGTAAAACATCAATCTCTTCTTCTGGCTCTTCGAACTCAAGTTCTTCTGATAGTTGTGATTAATATTTCACCATTGTCCAATTTGTATATAAGTGACTTTTTTTTGATGATACGTTTTTTACCACGTTTGGCTCCCACTGTTACTACTGCTACAACAACAACAACAACAACTACTACTCCTACTGTCATCACAATATTTTCTTGGTAATCTTCGCTTTCTTTTTCTGGGCATAGAAAATTCTGGCTATCTTTCTGCGCCCACATAATAAACTTGTGTATATTCCTCTTGAAACAAACACTTTTATCTTTAATTCAATTTTCGTTCATTATTTTGCACCGGAAGATTTATACAGTTTTTTTTGGTTTTGGTTACACCGCTTGTATATGTGTATAGAGATGAGATTTTGGCTAGTGAAATGATAGATGATTTTATACTAAGTGGATAAAGAAAAGAGATAGTTTTATTCGTCAAAACCAATATATATTCTAGTTTGTGCAATTTTTTTATTGTGTGTTTTTCCTAATGTCCATTCTTCTCTACCGCATTACTCTGGATGAATAACTTGTTAAAATTCATTGGAACAACAATCTCTGTTTATACATAATGAATAAAGTACAGATATAAATCAACTTGAAAAATATCACAAATACTGAACAATAAATGGTTTCATTTTCAAGAATTGTCTAGAAAATGAAATGTCTCTTTATTTATTAAATACAACAGATATGAAGTTGTGTAAATAGTTGTGTCTGTGTGTGTGTGTGTGAGAGAGAAGAATATTATCAAGTCAGTTGTCATTTGAAGAGAAAAAGTATATTTCTAATGTTTAGTTGAAATGTGGAGAATGATAATTATAAACTACTAGGCATAACAAGTTGATTTTTATCAGCCTGAGCTACAGTTTGGATATATATTAAAAGCTATGATTTAATAGCTATTTATTTGTCCAGGGAAATGTTAGATTGTAATGTGTATTCAATATATTAGTTTCACTTTTTCAAGTGGTTAGTCTACATCGATGTGTTTAGTACCGATAGGATAGGTTCGGTTTGTTGCTTGTTAAGATGATGAATAACTAAAATTTCTAAATATGAATTTCACAAAAACTTATGAAGCTTTCTTCATTTTTAAAAAAAAACTAGTGATAGGGAGTGAGGTAGTTGAGCGTATTGACCGCTTCACTTATCTTGGAAGTCTCATTAGTGTCGATCATCTGGTGTGTGACGATATCTTGACACGATTAAAGAAAACCCGATCGGGTTCGGTAACTTGCGTTACTTATGGCGTAGGTGAGATATCCATCTGTTAACCAGGAAACGATTTCTCTGTGTATCAGCTCTTTGTGTTCTGTTTTATGGGTGTGAAACATGACCGTTAGGAATCAAGAATATTAGCATTTTACTAGTACTCGAAGGTAGATGTCTTCGAAGTATTGTTCGTTAATTCTGGAACGACTGAGTGAACGGTTGACTGACTGCGGGGGCTAGAAATAGAAAACTAGGTAAATGTGGCTTTTAATACCCCGTAGTCCGACTCACTGAGATGAGTAGTGGAAAACAGAAATGATGCGGAAAAATATGTTAATTAGTTTACCCAAAAGGTAGTATAAGTCATGAGGGCTTGATCTAGTTGCACAGACTTCAGGTTGATCGATAAATAGGGTAGTAAATTTCCATCAGCAGAGATGGTTGGAACATATGTTACGTATGCACATACCACTGCTTAACCAGAGTGATGATTTCTGGTGAGGGTCGAATGGGAGAAATTTAAGGGCAGCCAAACCAAAACATGGCACAAATCCATGAAGTTATTGACAAATGAACTGAACCATGTAAGTGTAGACTACCTGGTTTAGAATGGAGTGATAATCATAACTAGTGTTTAGAGAATGAATGACATCGCTCAAAATTGGTTACAGGTGTATCCATTCTTTGTCTTTTTTGTGAATTCCTTATAACTTTCTATTTATTTATTTACTTCACTGATTTACATTTTTGTGAATGGTATCCTCGATGCTTAGTTTTTTCTATTACTACTTATACAGTTACTAGTTGTGCTACTCTCGGATTTGACGTAAAAGTTCCATGTTTGTGTGCCAGTGCGGCGTGAATGAATGAAGAAAGCATTAAACTTCAAAAGACTAAGGTTTAATTTTGAACAAAATTTGCATGCATTCTTTACATACCTTGAATCTTTTTTTTTTAATGGGATTTTGTTTGATGAAATTGAATAGTTTAACAATTCTAATCTCCGTGATTGTTTGTTAACTAAAACGTGTTTATAATGTGAGCGGTATTCCTTCAGTTTGTATCATAATATTTTTCGTGCAGAGTGTTAGATGTGACTGTAAGAGTTTAATTATGCACGCTACGATTGTATTACTGGATGCTGTAAATTCAAGATCTTCGTAAATTGTTAAGTGTTTTATAGTCACATAATGTTTATACATATCAACAAATGCAGAACACGTAGATGCACAATGTGTTGCGGCAAATTGAACTGATTGACATACACATGTACCACGCTCTATATTTTAGCTGACTTTCTCACATAGCTTTCGAAATCCAAAAATTCTTTAACTTAAGTTATTTCTAAACTGCTTGAATTCCATTAAGTAGTCAGTTGAGTAAATCTCTCTTTTTATTATCGAGAATTTTAAAACTGATCATCATATTTGTTAGCAATAACAATTCCACAATCTTAACAGAATTTATTAACTGATTTTTAAATCTGCGATGGACGTATAATTTTTATTGTGATATTATATATATATCTTTAAGGAATCAAACTACTTTATTTTCAGTTTTATTGGAATGATTTTCTAACAGTCTGCTGTATCTTTTAATTTTTATTAATATTTGTATTGCGGTGTTGTTGTTAAGATTGTTAAGTTTTATTTGTAACCATGAATCGATCAATGTTAGACCACCATTAGAAACCTGGAAGCACTGGACGGCCGTTTCGTCCTGGTATGGGACTCATCAGCAGTCGTGACCAGTGAAGTTCAAACCTGTTCGGATGTATACAGGGTATGAGGTTGCGCAACTCCGTGAATTTTATCAAGTTAGACATTAACACTGTTAGATAAGGGGTCAGTGGTCTGACGGTCAGGGCGTTCGCGCACAATACCGAAGGTCCTGGGTTCGAATCCTGCGGAATGCAGGAGTCATGGATGCGCACTGCTGAGGAGTCACATACCAGGACGAAACGACCGTCCAGTGCTTCCAGGTTTCTGATGGCGGTCTAACATTGATCGATTCATGGTTACAAATAAAATTAATATTTGTATTATTTTAGTGAGAAATCGATTCATCTTCAAGTGAGTTAGATCAACTTGAAGATGCATACTTGAAACAATTAAAATAAATCAAATTAGAATTGTTCAATTACTTGAAAACGATGTAGTTGAAATTAAAACAGTATTTAAAACCAAATACTGAAATAATCTGATTTCTAAATTTATTATTTATGTAAAAAATATGTTACTGAATTGTAAAAATACTGCGAGAATTTCAGAGTGTTTGTTTCGGTAATGAGATTAAAATGTCTGTGTTAAATGAAGGTGTTTCTTTCAAGTGTGAGACTTATTTATACATAAATATGTTTAGTTTAGGAGAAATTGAATTACACTACTGTGAACTTATATTTAATATATCGACAAGAATAATTAAATTACAAAAGGCCCTTAGGGATTGCATTCAGCTGTTATCTTCATTTGATGTGAAGCAGTAGACCTAGTATGTATAATATTTGGTCTTCAACTATACAGCGGAAGTTCAGTCTCTACACCACGTACATTACTGTTAGTAACCGTATGGAATAAGTAGATCCTCAGCGAAAAGCCGATTATATAAACCTGTATTCGCTTATTCAGTTGATTCAAAATCATTAACTCTCTATCAGTTTCCTTTAATATATAAGACGAGTTCAGGAATAGTAACTGAAGCAGAAAAACAGGTTGTATTTTCATATTATTTTATGTTATCTAATAACAATTTTTATTAGTAATGGTTTATGGAGATAGATGGTTCATTCAGTACTGTAGTTAACACCACAGACTGATCTCAGTCAGGAAGTTAGTGAAAATCAAGAAGTACTAGATAAATCTTTCGTCGTTATATGGGATTAAACTTTCTGTGCGTCCTTTGAGTTCAAGAATCTCCCCATGTTCTGGAGGGACATGAGTCGATAAAACTGAGTCTCGTTGTAGAGCATAACATATATCCTGTACTTTTGGGTATTCGATTATTATTTCATCATAATCAGCTCTTGAAGTTAACTACAAAAAATTATTCCTTACTTTTTAAATATGAAATAGTTGTGATTATTTAGGTACACTGATATTTGTCGACATGTAAGTTATGCGGCATATGAAAAATCAGTCTCTTAACTATTTAATACGTATGAAATTGTGCAGTAATTTCATTGCTGTTATTTAAATATGAATGTAATATTTTTAATTACCGTTTTGTCGTCTGTAATTTAGTTCATGTTCATTTGATTTCAAACTGGTATTTGATGTGATTATAGCTAGTTTATTTTCTTTACAAGAGTATAAAATTCTACACAGAATACAGATCACACTTCAATAATCAGATAAAATGTATTCTGGCCTATTTTTCAATTGTTGGACATTGAAAACATAAAACAATAATCACTACACATAAATTTGAAATTTTGTTTTAAACACTATAAAAGAAACACATTTTTGTAAATTTTTATGATTGATTTGTGAATAACTATACGTAAGATAGTGAGTGTCTTTATTCTGTGACACAAACATTTTACAAGGAGACACGGTCAAGGATAACTTAGTGAAATCGGGGAATTCGATCAAATCTTTAAAACAGTAGAACCGTATATGTTTGTGTGTGTGTTTCAGTTGCGGATGATGCTTTTCAAATGATCTACTAGTTCTGTCAAAGAAGAAATAACTTCACCATGATTTGTGTTCATGACAATTATGGAATTTAAGTATCCTGATCATTTTTTAAAATTGATGGACTTCACATATTTCGGATTAGCTTTATGCTAGATGAACACCAAAAGGCTTCATCTACAAAACTGATTTTCTAACCGTAGTTTAATGGGACAGAAAAAAGAATTGGACAGAAGTAACTTAGTTTGCAATATCGAAGTTGAAATTAGCATATCAATTTAAGGATTTATTCAGTCAGTTAGTAATGAGTGAATTAATTTAGTTAACTGTCTGATCAATTAACGTTAATTACTTACTATCTAGCTAATTTAAAATTGTTTTTCTTTACTCAGTTTGACTAAACACTGATTGATATATATTATGGAATATATTTGAGATCATTCCTATACTATGTATATTATTCATCCTGATAATGGTTATTAGACAATACTCAATGGTGTATAAATTTCCGATGACAATATGAAGCGTTGAATCTAGTTTACTATAAGAAACACACGAAACGAATATAAACATATTTGCGGATACGTAAACACGGACGAATCGAAACTAAGTATCACATTCTAGATTTGAAAATGAACAAGTCATATCGAATTATTTAAGTTTATTTAAGTATGAAGACTGTG